ACTTTACTTCCTATAGCTGATAATTGTTCTTCTCTGTAATGTCTATATAGTTGAGAATTATTTGAAAAATACCCTGTATTATATAATATTTTTGGATTTAGTAACCTTAGTTGATTCTGCTGAAAAATCTGTATGTCTTTGTCTATATCTATTATTTTATCTAGTTTCTGATTGTCATCTTGTTTTTTTCTAGTTATGATTCTTGCTAAAATATTATTACCTATTCTATTATCTGAAAAACTTACTCTTGATCTTTCTTCGTTTCTCCCACCTGGAAGAAAGTCCATTTTTGTGGTTTTCTTATTTTCATTCTATCTTTTTGTGGTGTTATTTCAACTCTTTTTAATTGTTCTATTAGATCGTCAACCTTTTGAATTTCTGTTTTTATCTCTTTTTCTTTAATAATTTTATCTAGTTTTTATTAATTTCTAGAAGTAATATTATTAAAGTATTATTTTGTTTTATTATTATTTGATCTGCCTTTCCTTGAGGGATATAACTAGTTAGTCCTTCTGGGTTGGGTTGAATTCTTTCTGTAAGTTTTAATGCTTCTTCATATATTGGATCTAATTCTATATCACTCATGAAAGAGCGATTTCCTTTATTTTGTCTATTTCTTCTTTTAAAACATTTATCTCACTTTTTAGTACTTCTACTTGATCTGTTATTCTTTCTATTAGCCTGGTCGTTTGTATTTCTAATTCCTGAGGTTTTTCCGTAATAGCTTTAATTAATTTTTCTATTTCGTTTTTCGTAGGTATTTTTTCTAGATTAAACTTATTATTTAAATATTGTATTTTTCTGTCTATTTCTAGTTCTTGTGATTTTATGAAGTCTAAATTTTGTTCTAGTTTCTCTAGAGTCTTTTTCTGTTTAATTTGTAATGCTTCTACTAGTTCTAGTATTCTTATTAAATTTTTATTATTTTCTTATGTTTTTTCTCCAAAATTTATTATCAAATCTACTATTGTATTATATTGTTTGTCTTCGCTATGTAATATATGTTCTCCACTGCTAAAATTACACTTAATTACCGTATTATCTTTTACTATTCTATACTTCTTTTCTGGATATATTTTTAAATCTAAATATTCTAGGTTTTTTAAGGTAGCAATATTGTATATCCTAAGGGTATCCAAATTTGTCTTTTCTTAAAGAACTTTATTCTTTGATTTTGTGAATATATTTCTCCTTCTATACTTTGTATTTCCCACTCTAAAGCTGATATAGTTTCTAAGCTAATACTTCTTTTAATTATATAACTTTGTTCTCTATTTATTTTGGAATATGATACTTCTATTTGTTTAGCTAGTTCTAGAGTTGATGATAGTAGTGTTTTAGTTCCTTTTAGTATTTTCTTTAGCTCTTCTTTTCTGACTATATCTCTTCTTAAAAGCCAATAGTTAAAGGCTATTTCTTTGGCTATAGGATGTTGTCTTAACATATGGTTTAACCCTAGTGGAATATATTTTATCTTATTTCTAGTTGTTTGAATATAATTTTTCTCCTCTTGTATTTCAATACTTGTTCTTTCTATTTCATGCAAAAAGGAAATTTTGAAAATCCTCGGTATTAAAAATATCTAATTCTAATTCTAATATTCTTATATATTTTTTATAATTTCTAATGGTCTTATAGCTAATATATATCATATGGTGACGGTAACTTATATATTTGGAGAACAATAATTGTTTCATACACTGTTTGGTCCAAGAAACTTCTTGCTCTGATACCAGAATAAAGGGGGATTAAAAAACAATAAAATATAAAGGGGGAGTTTTTTCAGGTAAAATAAATATTGTCTAGTAGTATATTCTTCTCCTTCTTTGAAACCTTCTTCTCTGATAGTGGGAGTAGATTGACTGATGATATCTGAATATTTCCGATATTAGGTATAGTTGTTTTCTATATTTATCTAAACAGATTCTGTTATTTTGTTCTAGGTAGATAAAATGTACTGCTAGATCTATTATAGAATAGAATTCACTATCTATGTCTATTATAAATTCTTCTAAATTTTGAGTAAGGCTTCTAGCAAAACTTTCTGGATGAGGGTAGTTGTTGCGGTTATTGGACATTAATAGTAAAAATTCTTTGCAGTTAAATCTTATATTTGTGAAAATCCTACTCGGTACTCTCTCTCTTTTATTCTATAGACTTGTAAAGTTAACATATTAGCTAAATTATGAACTGATATTATCCCGTAACTTTTTTTTTACTCTGTTCATCTCTTCTTCCCAATCGTTTAAAGATTTTACTCTTTTCTTAACTTCTATTTCTTTAACCTCACCCGGCCATAGTTAAACACTTATACCCTTCTTTATCAATTGGGTTTTAACCAGTTTTTCCTAGAAATTTACAGGTTAATCCATCATATTTGTTAAGAAATTGGGAAGTTAACCATATACTAAGAGTGTTATATAATAATTTAATGTACAAACATAGTGTTAACTAACTAATAATTATAAGAACAGTAAAATACAAACTAATTAACAATCATAAATTTAGTAAAATACAAACTGGGGTAATGTTTATCAGAAACATAATTTAGATAAAGATGAATAACTTACATGCTTATAGGAGAGAGATTTCCCTTTCGGGAAACCCGAAAACCTTACTGAAAACTTTGAAAATTACTTCGTACAAGCTGATGAACTTATTTTTCTTACAAGCTTAGAGGAGAAGGGAAAATTACTATATTATACATAGAGGTATTTTACAAAGATGGTTGAGAGTTTTTGGATAGTTTTTGATGAGAGGATGGGTTTTTTCGAATGGTTCTTGTTTTTCGAATAATTCCTTTTCTCTTCCTTCTTCTCCTTTTATGGATAGAGAGTTTGAGTCGGACTTGAAAATTGGATTTCAAAATGTTTTAGGAATCCGTCTATCAAGCTTCGCAGGGTACAACTTTGGGCCCCATCTGCACGTTGCTTTGTCGAAGATTCCTTTTTTTATGCACTATTTTAGTCCACTCAACTTTTTTGGCTTGTCTTTTAGTGTCATTGTCTTGTCACATCTTATGTCATCTTTTTATCTCCGTCTTTTAGCACAACTGTCTTCTTTTCTGGTACAAGTCTTTTCTTCGTCTTGTCTTTCTTTCCACGTTTTCATTATTGGTATGGTCTTCTTTTTGTATTGTTGGTCTTGTTCTTTGCCCTG